TTTTTTTTTTTTTTGAGCTCTCACATTGAGCCGATCTTTTTCAATGGATTTTGACTTTCTCACTTGAGCTTTCTATCGAATTTCCATTGATGGACTAGTGGACTCATTGGACTTTCTATCTAAGCTTGAGCCCGAAGCGAGTGAAACTCGTCCTTCATTTCATACCTCAGTCTGGTGCCTAAAGTCGCATATGTGAATTCACCTTATAAATCGCATATGTGAAGTCACCTTATAAATCGCATTTATGGAATGTAACTTATAAAGCGCAATTCCACTCTCATTTGAATCCCCTCCAATTAATGGTTAATAACCTAAGATTAAACCAATAGAGAAAACCAAAAATAAAACTCTAATATAATGCTAGCTTAAGCAACAACTTGGGTTTAACAAATTATATAATACCCCAACCACTCCCCAACTCATGAACATGGGGAACAATGAATGTGGCCTGAATATTGTAGTTTGTAGAGCACATGAAATAGAATCTACACCGAATTTAATATTGCTGGAATCTGTTTTATTATCTTTTAGTACTTTTTTAAAATTAAATTCAGAAACTTTTTAAAACGAAGATGCAGCCCTTTTTGGTTTTTTATATAGTTTTGATACATGCCCAATAGCACATTAATAACATCACGATAAAAATTTATTCGCATCAAATATTTACAATAATTTATAGCGCTACCTCTATTCACATACAACACACTTGATTAGTATTCTTAACGTCCAAATTTTCAGTTACACACTTTTTCGCCATTTTATGTTCTTTGATTTTATTTTATACAATAGTACATATTTGATTATACTCGACATTTAAGATATTAATTTAAGTTCTCAAGTATTTTAATGACAATGGGAGAAACTATTAGATTAATTAATAAGTTAGTTTGATAAAAGAAAATACATTAACTAAATTTAAATAGTTAAAATAAACCTAAATCTTTCAAAAATTATAAAAGTGTGTATAAAGTAATATTCTATCATCTTCATCTAATAAGCCATTTCTTCATTCTGTCTATTCCAAAAGATAGATACCTTCATATATTTAGATACTTTTTAATATTTACATTCTCATTTTGTCTTTAATAATATATTTTAATGAAGTTACCATTGCATGATAAAAACCACTAAATACCAAAAATATTTTAATTTGTTACTCCATATATGGCCTCTTTGAGCCGAGGGTCTCCTGGAAACAGCCTCTCTGCCCCTCGGGCAGAGGTAAGGTCTGCGTACATATTATCCTCCTCAGACCCCACTTGTGAGATTATACTGGGTTGTTGTTGTTGTTGTTACTCCATATATATATATGAAAAGAGTTTCTGTTCCAAGGGAATTTGAGAATGGGCATGGCAGTAATGTAATTTAGCTCATAAGTGTGGGCATCTCAGCTGAAAGTCTTGGCTATAAATATCCAAAAAGCTGGCCCAGCTTCTCCTCTGTCGCATCTTCCGGAGTTTCGCAGCGTAGCAGATAAAGGTCTCTCTCTCTCTCTCTCTCTCTCTCTAGATTTGGATCCCAAAAATCTAGGGTTATTCTGAATTGAAGATTTTTTTGGCTGATCTGCAAATTACCTCAATTTTCGTAGTAAGACTAGCTTTGAACTTCATTAATCTTTGATTACATGCATCTGTGCAAGTCAAATCAGTTTATTGCTGCATTATAGTTAGCATTTCCATGTCGATGCTCTGATCTGTAATTCATTGGATCGCCATAGCTTGATGTTTTCTTAACTGCCCTGTCTAGGGCTTGATTTGAGAATTACTTATTCTTTACTCTTTAGTCACATTTTTACTTATTCTTATTTGGACTGAAGTTAGTAACTTTACTGAAATTATTGTTGATTCAAGCCTTATTCTTAGCACACTCTTCTTCTCTCTTTTTTTCCCAGCTTTTACATGTAAAATTTCGTTGCTGTTATCTCTACAAGATCGAATTGACATAATAGTTGTTCAGTTGAAACTGCTTTCAACTAAGCATTGCTTTAGTTTTTGACTCGTCTTGCTATGATTATATAGGTGATACCTGTTACCTACTAGCTGAGAATAGGTTTTAGTATTGTAAGTAAGTTGAATTTGAACCTTTTGCTTTTTTAGGAGTATTTTGACTTTATCATAGGTTTATAAGCCATTAAAAATATAGAAAACTTCTAATATTGTTATTATCATTATTATTTCTCTCTCTCTCAATATGATCCTTGAGGATTCATATAGCCGACTGCAATATGTTTGGGAGTGAGGCGTTGTTGTTGTTGTTGCTATGATATGTATATAGCCTCAATTTCTATGATGGACTCACTTGTCACGAGTACTTTAGGCTTTTTATCTGTTTTAGCTGAAAATATATTCATAGTGATTCTTGGGGTATGCTTTTATTGTCAGATATTGCAGCATGGATAGTCTTCACAGCTATTGGCAGTTTGGCGACGAGCTTCGAGGTCAGTCAAAAGTTTCAGAGGATCATCAATGGTCAACGGCTGCTATGAAATTGGCTCAGCAGATAAGGTCCAAGGGTGAACGGAGGAATAACCTAGACCTTTCGAAGGGCTCATCTGAAATTAGGCCCAGGGATAATATAGGGTTTCAGGAAGATAACAAGTGGGAAAGCCTTAACTTCTACATGTTGAATTTGGATACCAAGATGAATGAAAATACGTCGAAGAGTTCCATTACAAAAGGCATGTATAACATGAATTCAGCTTATCTTAAACCCAACGCCAACAACTTGGGAAATGTGTCTTTAAGCAAGTTCAACATTGGGAAAAACACAAAGGAAAGCAACAACAACAATAACAACAGTGAGAGCGCCAATGGGAATAATGCCACTGACAAAAGGTTTAAGACTTTGCCTGCTGCCGAGACACTGCCCAGGAATGAGGTTCTTGGTGGATATATATTTGTTTGCAACAATGACACGATGCAGGAAGACTTAAAACGCCAGCTGTTCGGTATTTCTCTAGCATCTTAAGCTTTCTGCCTAAATGGTCTTGATTTTGCAACATGGAATATTATCATATTTATATCTTGTTAATACATAAGATTATATAAACAATCTTTCTGCATTCTGATCTTTGAATAAAAATTGTGGACGGAATAGTGGTCTTATACCTTATTCCTTGTTGTAGAAGCAAACCGTATGGAAATGATAATGAAAGAGTGATGATTGAAGGACAAGAATGTCAATTTTGTTACTTGCTCCTTTTTGTATAAACATCATTTACCAATCCAATCAAAAATCTGCTTTATTTAAGTCGTCAGTTTTTATGTATCTTATATCTTGTTAGCTTTTTGGTGTTTGTGGCTGCCTTGATGTAGAACCACTTGCAAAGAAAGGAGAATGAGATCCTTATTGGATTTGATTATTAGCATGTTCTAGGATTCTATTTGTGCCAATAAAGCAAACTGTTGATAAAAGTTGAAGCTACTGATAAGTAGATGGTGATGAAAAAGAAGTTGCTTCCACTGTTACAAGTTCAATCATTCTTTCGCAGGTCTACCTCCAAGGTACAGAGACTCTGTGAGGGCGATAACACCAGGCTTACCCTTGTTCCTCTATAATTATACTACTCACCAGTTACATGGTATCTTTGAGGTTAGTTGTGCCTTTTTTTGTTATTACTGGTGTGACAACAGATATAACATCAACTGGTCTACACTATTAGCTAAAAGGCCAGAAATTATGAAAAATTGTATGCATACACACTCATTCCTTCATCCGTGCTTGCAGTGTGTATCCTATTCTTTTTTCCCGTGGAGCAGCAGTGAATATCTGTTCTTTTCGTAGTTTTTTTCTTCTTGTTTTATGTTAAGATTTCATTATCCTTCAAGCATAGTGGTTTGAAGAGTTGTTGTTTGCATTCCTTTCTTATCACACCC